AACTTGAGTAGTAGAACAGGTAGAGCAGAGGGGAAGACTGGAGTGAGTATCCCAAAAAGCCTGTGAGGGACTTTAAATTTTTAGTAACCTGTTTTCAGTGATGACAAAGCAACTTTAAAGGCCATTTTCATTACATCTTGGATAGGGGTCTGAGGGCTCTCCTCAGCTGGTTTGAACTTTGGGTTAGCTAGTAAGAGGACCTGGTGGGACCCAGTGTGGGCACTGACAGGAGAAGAGAGGAGTGAATGGGTGGAGAGATACCTCAATACCTGTTACTTCAGCAAGGGGGCAATGCTGAGAACTGGTGGAGGTTTGGGTTCCATCAGGTAGCCCCTGTATGTTTACATCCTTATGACTTACAGTAAGAAATCGTTTTTTCCCCCACACAGCCGTGACTGTTTGTGGCTTTGATAGTCTGCCGAGCAAACATAGTAATCTAGGTTAGCCAACCTGCATCTGGCTTGAGCCGTCCCTACATCCATAATGTTTGTTTCTATTATCTATGGTATGGAAGGGATTTAATGGAATTTTAGTGGGATTTTTTTTTTTTAAATCAGGGATACCCAATAGGAAAGACCTATAGCCAGCTGACATGGTTTGTGATTAGCCATTACTGTTGTACGGGCTGATGAGGGTTAGGACTACTGGTGGTCAAGGGGAGAGTCCATAGCCTTATCCACACGGCGAATACACAATTTGAGAGGGTTACCACTCTTTTTCAATTTCCAGCCAGAGTCTGGACAGGGCGCAGGCTTGAGATGAGAGGCATGGATCCAGGAAGTGATTTCGTTTACCTTTACCGCTGTAGGTGTTATAAGTAGCACCTGGTATGGTTCTTTCCAGCGGGGTTCTAGGGATGACACTTGATGTTGTCTTACGTAGACAAAGTCTTTTACATCACTTGATATCGGTGTGGAGTCCTTTCGTCCTCAGGTTGGTAGGCAGTGGCCAGCTGTTTCTACAGGTATCGCTGGGTTCTTTCAAGAGCTTTAAGTCTGTCAAGCAAGGGGGTGTGAAAGGAATTGTTAGGTCTTAGAGTTGGGGTCAGGTCCCTTATTGGAGGAGGGGCACCATAGAGAATTTTATAGGGGGTGAGGTTACACAAAGAAACAGAGGGAGTATTTTTTTGTACAAAACAGTGCATAAGGCAGGAGCATAGTCCAATCTTTTATGTCGGTCTCCAAGCTTAATTTTGTCAAGGTCTCTT